AAACCAGTGGTTGTAAAGTAGTCAAAGAGCTGAAATGGTTCTGATTATTTCCCAAAGCTTTAATGTTACCCCGACCCCGAAGCGACGCTTAAATTAAACGATCAAAAAAACCCAAAACACGGCGATTCTCTAGTTTGTTTTCAGCTTCTTCCTCCGTCGCTGACAGCCAGCAGCTCGCCCAACGCCTGCTCCTCTCCTCTTAACAACACTCACAGCGACCTTTTCTGTCCACGGCGCCCGCTCTGACCTTTGTTAATAAGAAATGAAAAGGCGTGTTATCGGCGCCGCATGATCAATGGCACGCTTTAAGCAGGTCTTCAGCAGCGACGTCGGTGCGAGCAGACTCGGAGCGACACGCACCAACAGCATGAAGCGTCGCACTCTTTCCCCGCTATCATGTGATGTTGCCATGGCGAAGGAGGGCTCAGACATAACAGGGCGATTGTGCTCCGAGGGCGAGGTGGGCCGATCAGAGAGACAGTCTGTTCTCTGGCTGTGACACCGCCAGCCCCGGTGCCAACTGCCCTTCCGCCTACAGGGACGCGGACCCGCCCACCGGCAGAAGGACCGGTCTGCACGGGGGCCCCGCCATCATGGAAACCACAGCAGCAGACGCCGTTTCCATTCACGGCGTTCTCACGTCTCCCCTTTCACGCTGAGCCACAAGGTCGAGGACGTTTCTTCTTTCTGTCAGAATTCACTTTTTTCAATTTATTTGAAATTCCCACTGCCTTTCATACTCCTACACGGGCCGCTATGCTGAACAAAATCACATGAAAAACATCCTTTTAGAGCGAGAGTCCAATCTCAAGTTACAAGGTGACGTCTTTGAGCTGCTGTGGCACCAATAAATCAGTTTATCATTAACGCACTGCAGATTTAAACTCTAAAACAGTTGGACAGTAAATCAATTAACCGATAGCTATTTCGATAATTGATTATTATTCAAGTAACTTTGCAAGTGCTAGACTCTCAGATAAATGATTTTTCTTGCTCTTGTACTGAATATCTTTAGCTTGTGGACTATACGTTGAATGTGTCTCCTGAAGTTCTGCAAAACCCTGATGGGATAGTTTCCCCCCATCTTCTGCAAAACATTTACTTTAAACAATTATATGCATACTAATTGTTGAACATAGCTAGCCCTACTGTGGTGCTCGTATAATAAATATGTTTGAGATCATTCAGAAACGCTGTTAGCATCACGTAGTTTATCCACCAAAGAGCACCGACAAGCTGGAAAGTGTCGCGTTTAGTTAGTAAGCAGATGTAAATATCAACTCTTCTTATCAAACTCTGTGAACTCTCTTAGCATCTACATCAAAAATCCAGTCAGAATATGTACTTATCTGTGGCCATGTGGCTTTTAACATCAGCAGCATTTGCCAATTTTGCTCGTTTAAACTGATTTTCCACCACTTTGCATGTTTTGCAGACAACACTGACGCATCATTAACTGTTCACATCTTCACAAACAGCTGCTACTTATGCACTGATTGAGCAACATCATCGTTTATCTGCAGTCACGTTTCTGACCACCGAACGAGTAAATGTTCACCCTCTTGCAGCTGTTCTGATCTCCACCAAGATCTGGGTTTATACGAGATTACACCTCCACAATTATGCATCACAGTTTGTGTATTAACTCTACCGAGCGTGTCTACAACACAAAGGCTCTCTGGTTGGAGAGAAATGCACCACAGTAATGCAGTATTTATTCTCTCGTGGAGTGACAGGCGTAAAGTGAGTTTAACTCTTGTTTTGGAGCTGGGCCCAAAACATTACTTGACTTTAAAGTGAAATCTGAAACAATGCAATTAGCAAAACCACAAAGGCTGCAATTTAGGACATAGGAGTTGCGGTTAATAGATAATGAGGCTGTAATTAAATTATATTTCATTCCAGCAGATTGGAACGTATGACAACTGATGGGTGCATACCACAGAGCTCAGCTGACACAAACCACAGAGTTGAAACCGTCTCGCCAAGTCCCACATTCGATGTTATCTGAAGTGATAATGCTCTGTTGCATGTTTTAAATCAAACACACAGTGAACACTGAACTGAGGCATCACTTTTAAGAACTACAATGCGAGGAAAATTAAAAATATCTGTCAGAAAATTTCCCCAAATCGCTCAGCCCTATCAGGTGCTAAAGTCATAGAAAGTTCCTAGAAGCCAAACTTCCTGTGCACGTGTACTGAGAGCGAGCGCAGCCCGATGGAAACCAGTTTGCTCTCTCAGCATCTTGTTGAACATGAAAACATTACACAATGTACACATACCTCCTCCATGCGAACAAACAGCTCCCCCCCACCCGCTCTGCTGACAGCCCGTTCAAAACACAAGCCTCGGTCGCCTGACTTAGCTGCACGTTAAACGCGCTCCGTGTTTGTTGTGAAGCGGTCGGATTTATGGGTTAGCGCAGAAGAGAGGCTCTATTGACTGTGTGGTCTGAGCTGTGGCTGCGCCCTGTCGCCACAGAACCGGCAATTTAGTGTGAATCACTCTGCCTCGGTTGTTTTTTTTTGTTTTTTTTCAAAAGGGTTATGCTTACAAAAGGAAGGTCAAAGTACAGTCAAATATGAACAATCCACCCATACGGTGTCTGTGAACCCACCTTGATTCTACAAGATAGTGATGGAAATGCTTTAATGAAGCCTCCGTCAGAGGAAGGGCATGTTTCCTGTCTGCCAAACCTGTGTGGTGACAGAATAACTGCAGCAGAACCACGCAGAGGTTGAGCTGAAATATTTCTTGGAAAGCGTTAGCAAATCAGACTGCTTCCAACGCTAAGCAGCAGATTACCCACCTGTGTGACTGACTGGGAGAACTTCACATTTTTATAAATCCCTGCATGACCGAGTGGAAGCTTAGAGCCTCTTTCCGGGCAGGCTGGCTGCTTTTCAAGAGTTATTAGTTTATGTGAGGCACGAATGTGGGTGATCAGGAGCTGCAAATAAATTCTAGTACGGTTTCATTATTAGTTAAGCACAGGATGAACCGAAGGCCGAGCGGCTAAGGCTCAAACCACACGAGGACAAACAGCCGGAGCAGCGAGTCCCCGGCTGACCGGGCCTTTACTGCTTGTCCTCTGTTTTATGAAGACGCAGAAACATTTTTCTTATCACAGAATCTGGTCAACAGAAGCTCCAGACTTTGCACTTTTCAACCACATCGAGCCCAAGTGATGCTAAAGTGTGTGAAAACAGAGGGAAGTCATTAATAAGCCTATCTTATCATAATACGCCTTCATATCTGTCTTATAACCTTTAAGGCTAGACAAGATAGAGCAATCAGCGGAGCTGGTTCTTCCAGTTTACGAGCCCCCGCTGTGTGAAAGCACCGAAGTTAAATCTTCTCAGCGAGGCACTTATGAGAGAACAGGACTGAAGGGAAACCATGTGAAGTGGTGGCAGACCCCGGCATTCTTGGTCTTTCTCACCGTTTCTTATCATCGTACGCAGATTGATGATTAACTCGAAGCCCATTCTGGCTGCTTGGATGCCGTGTACTTCCACTGCTATTGTACGCTGCAGGATAACTTATCTTTATTATGACATTTGTGTATGATATATGAAACAATACACAGAGCTGCAAGCGAGTGAACAAATGAGAATATAATGTCAGGCTTAACACATGATAAATAATACTACGAGCTCTTATTTAGTTGTGTTTAGTGCACGTGTGTAGGTTCTGCTGTGTCGTAGTGAAGCTACGTTGGTTTTGTAATTAAGTTTGAGGTGCTTGTACTTTGACTATCTTCAAATTCAAGCTTCAAGACACTTTATTGTCTTTATAAACGGGAAATTCAGTGGGAAATGTTGAATATTTTGCTCCACTGCACTGATTTGACAGCTATTATTAAATAGTTATTTTACAAATTCAGATTTTACATCAAGCAGCAGCAAACGAGGACGTTTTAATCTGTCTGTATTGATTATTTTTACCTTTAAAGCTTTGTGTTTTTACCAATAATGCACTTTAATTAAGTAGTAATATTTCAGCACTTTTACTTGTGACTGAACATTTTTGCAGCGTGATATGTCTATCCTGTGTGAGTAAATAATCTGCTGCATTGTTTCTGCTACTCTTCCCATATCTCTGTATGTTTTCTTAATGACAAACAACCATCCATCATGGTGAGCTGCAGGAGCTTCAGCAGCAGGAACATATTGTGTGCCATCACAGAAATAAAAAAGAAAAAAGATAAGTGCATGTGAACAAGCCCTGTTTGTGTCCCTGTCTGTCTGTCTGTCTGGATGGATGGATCTCCCAGGGAGCAATTAAGACTCTCCACAGACAGGGGAAGTGACCTGAGGCACTTGTGAGACGGCTCAGGTCGCCCGGTCCCCACTTCTTATTATTATTGGGCAATGGGGCGGCAGTGGTAGGCGCTCTAGTGCGCATGCCCCGCTCTCTGACCCGCCTTGTCGTCAAACAGTGTCTGCAGCTCTGCGCACGAAAAGCCCAACAGACAGAGGGGGAAATGAACTCGCGTGATTAACAGGCGAGTGATTAAAACGCTCAGTGAAAGCGGCGACTCTCTCTCCGGGCCAAGTCCCTTCTCTTTTCCCTACACTGGTTCCGAGAACGAGGCCGCCAGACACCGGAGATGAATCGGTGCTATTGTGATTCCGTGCCGCCGTCGGGATGTGGAGCCACACACACGTGTAGCTGCTCCATTCACTCCTGCGCGGTGGCAACAGTCTTAACGCACGAACCAAACGTCGCACCAACGGCGATTGTTTTGGTGATATTAATGAGAAACCCGAGCGGCTGATTTAACACGGACACGCGTGTATTTTCGCGCTGTATTCACACTTACCAGGCCCGCTCCTTCCTTAAAAACGCATCCACTCGCCACAAAGAAAATGCGCACAGAAAGTGACCAAACGAGACAGAAACCACAGCCGCATTGGGAAAACACACATGGGCAGCGGGTTTTTTTCTCTCCTGTCTCTCTCTCTCGCTTTCTCTCATAGACAAAATGTACTTACCGACGAAATAGGACACCGTTGAAGAAGGGGGGTGAACTGTGCCGTTCCTCTTCGCCTCCACGCCTCTAGATCTCAGCCTGTATTCTCCCAGAACCGTTTCTACGTGGGCTGCGTCGAAAAAAAAGGAAAAGAAAAATGTCAGATTCCAGCAGTGGCCGTGTCGCTCGCTTCTCCCCTCCTTCAGGAATGGTGGTTGCCCCCCTCGGCCGACTTCATGCGACCATGTTGCCCTGAATGTCGCCTGCTGCTGCCGCCGCCGCTGCTGCTCTCATCCGGGCGTTTAGGGATTGAGCCGTCCGTCGTCTCGGCAGCGCTCAGGATGACAGCTTTGGGATGAAGGAGGGGGGGAATAGCGTGAGACAGAGAAGGAGAGAGAGGAGAGGAGAGGAGAGGAGAGGAGAGGAGGAGGGGGGGAGAGAGAGGAGCAGTGGTCAATCTGGTGAGGGCAAGGTTGGACCATATGGTGGGACGCAGTGCCATTAATGTGCGCAATGGAGACGGAGGTTAAAATGGATTTTAAAAAACAAGGCGTGCGTTTTGACCATTAAATCTGGTTACATCTGTTGATTTTGATTTGCAGTGTCACAACTTCCCTTTTAAATCAGTGTTGCTCACATGTTTATCCAAAGATAGAAGCCATTTTTTTGTGGTTACAAAAGACGACCGAATGTGTTTTTGTTTTTTTTTCTCCGCGTAATGACCCAAACCAAGGCCCCAGTGAACCGAGTGCACCTTCTGATCTAATTACCAGCAAACACGCTGTTCTGTTCCTGTCCTATAGTCTGCTTTCATTGTGGATAATGTGTATGGTTAGGAGTGGGAAGGACCAGAGCCGAGCGGAGGAATCCGGCTTTACGCGTCTGTCAGATTTCTGTACAAATCGGGTCATTCATTTTTTAATTTATTTTGCGAACAATCACCATTGATGGTGTTTTTTAGGTCTTAAAGATGAAATTTGGGTCGCGTGTGCTGACTGGGTGCACGGTAATGTTTAATCCGTCCACATATTGCCATCTATTATGACTGTGGCCACGTGCGCAAGGCATAAATGTGTTACGTAACCGGCCGAGCCAGTCAACAACAGTGGGTGGGAGAGAGAGAGACAGGGAGAGAGGGAGAGAGAGGGGGGAGGAAGAGGAGGAGGAGGGGTCGTTTGGAGGGTAATTAAACCAGACTCAAAGCTGAGATTTGCAACTTTCACAGTTATACTGAATAATTAGAAAATGGACAGTTTATAGAAACCCAACGTGCCAAATGGTTCCGATTTAACCTTTGATTTCTCCACGAGGTGATTCAAAGTTTAACACAACCACCCCACAAAAAATAAAGTTTGAATCATGCCATGTGTTTAACTGAGATGTAGCAGCGCTGCAGTGTGTGTGATCTGAGAAATAATTTCCCTTTTCCGTTTGTGTAAACGGCGGGTCTTGTTGAGACACGACTCAGATCCATTCAGCCCGTGGTTGGTTGGGTGGAACAAGTGACTGACTCTCCACAGACTCTCACACACGCCTAGATGGGCCAACGGTATTATTCCACAGTGGTCCGAACGCTCGTATAAATTCACTCAAAGTACACGAGGCCCCAGCAGAGGACGATCTAGCCGGTTGAGCAACTTTCTCTACTCCCAACACATCCAGCTTTTCCTGTAAAGTGTCCCAGAGCAGATTCACAGTAATGAGAGGACCGAGACGATAAACCACAGTTTATATATTCAGCTGTATTTTGGGGGTTTACGCTCGCCCACCAGCCACAACATTAAAACCACAGACAGGTGAAGTGGATCTTCTCATTATGCAACGTTCCACTGGGAAACCTCGTGTCCTGGCATTCATGTCAACACCCACTTCAACATTGTTCTCGACCGAGCAGACGTCAGAGGCCCCACCCTGCATCCCACAGGACCCGACATCTCAAACCCAGACGCATCGGGATGTCCCGTGCCCCGACAGGTTGGAGCTGTTCCGATGGAACAAACCAGATCTACGCGATGTTAGGCAGGTGGTTTTAAAGTGTTGTGGCTAAGTGGTGTGTATTTTCAGTTGCCACAAGCCGCCCTCCTCATGCCCTGAAGGACTCTCCTACAGACACAAACACGAGCTCTCAAGCAGGTGAAGCGCCGTATCTAGAAGGAGAGCAAGTTTAGAGTACTGAACAGGATGTGCTGCTCGGACTGGGCTCAAGAAATATTTAAATATACCACATTAACTTGGGTTTATCTGTGCACAAAGAGGTTTCAGAATCCTGACCTGAGTTGGTCCAAACTCAGAGATACATAGAGATTGACAGACAGATCTTGGATAAATTCAAATTATCCAGTAGCTACAGTCAAGAAAGACAAGGAAACCAGTGTACAGAAGAACGTGCAATCAACGTGCAAATCATGCTGGTAGAAGAAATAAGGTGCCAGAACTGCTGTTATTTACAACAAAGGTGCAGCATTGTTAGTATTTACAATAAAGGTGAAATATTGCCAGTGTTTTCAATAAATAAGAGTATTTAAAAATGTAACTAGGAGGGCTGTTTGGGTCCTGGTGGGCCAGAATTATTGGCTTCATTGAGAGATAAAATGACCAAGGTCTTGGTTACACCCATGGCTGCTTGGGTCACATTCTGGGCAAAGTTGGGCAACAATCTTCTATAAAAAAAATGCAGTTGGACTGAGTTTAACGTGTACAGAGTTTGCATTGATCCTCTCGCCGCTAAATGACACTCAGGTCTCAGAAAAATCATCCTCCCAGTTTTATATTTCTAGTAAAAGAGCAGCCTTAATGCAAAAGTTTGTCTTTATCACTCATAAATGAAGCAATCTTGTTCAAAATATGACCTTTTTTTTGTTTTTTTCTTGTGCCTGGGGTCAACATCTCGTGCCTCAGATGTCCCGTCTGCCTCTCTAGCAGCCACACAACAAATATCACATCTACACCACAGTTCCAGGAAATCGATCCTCTTTGTTCTTGCTTTCCTGGAGTCGTCTCGTACCGAGTTAAGTTCTATTTGGCGACTATTGTATTTACTGTACAGTCTGTGTTGTTACGATAAAGAACCACTAAATCTGTCCAAAAAAAATAAAACGCTGTTTTACAGCAGATAGATCAGAGTTGCGTAATTAACTGCAAACAGAAATTGTGTGTAAAAGCCATCAATTAGGGGAACTAGGGCTTAGCGTTTGTCACACTAGATAATGCGTGCGTTCTCTGCCAGTCTCGTGTCCAGACAGGCCGGGCTGGGCGCGGTGTTTACCACATTTTCTGAATACACTCCCACCCCTCAAACAAACCTTTACTCTAAATGCGTCACATGTGGTATAATCTTTATGGCTTCCCAAAATCAACAAATAGATTTCATAATCTAGTGATACGAACGGCAGAAACCAAACAGCACGATTCAGAATTCTGTGACACGTTTTTTTTACGGCTGTCATTTTGTTCCTCCGAGCTCTGCACATGTTGAATCTGCATTTTCCACTTTTATCAGTTGTTTATGATGCAATAAATGTTTATCCTTGGTTTTCTTTCGGTGCTGTACTTCATGCTCACATACTTTCTTTTTCTATTTAATAAAAACAAACTTTGGAACATCATCATGCTGCAGCCCAGTTACATAACGCCCACCACTGGGAGCTATATTGTTTCGTCCTTACTTGAATGGTTACCATAGTGTTTCTTGCTGTATACGTCTCACGCTGGCTCGTGGTCGTTTGCCAGCTCACCCGCTGCATTAAGAGAGATTTTTGGCGACAGTGCAATGAATGAAAAATCAACACTGACATGCCGTCACCATATAGATGCAGAAGAATCTCAGTATTCATAAGGAGCTGCATGCTGACTTGGCCCCTTGGATGAAAGTAATGTAAAGTGAAGGGGTTACAACAGCTTATAGAGTGCAGCCATGTTAGTGGCACAGAATATGCCAATCTATTATTTATTTTTTGTATTGTGTATTCATATGATGTTGGTGTTACTTCACATGGACCTTGGCCCACCTAAGTCGTGTCTTCCAGCTAATGACATGTAGCAGGGCAGGTATAAAAGTTAGGTAATTGCTTTCGGTGTGGTGTCGGTGCACGTCTCACGCTGCACTGTTGGAGGCCAATAAATGCCACTATTGGGGCTTTAAATCTTACATCCGTCTCACGCCTCTCTGGCAAAAACTTGAAAGCGCTGCCAGTTGAACTGGCAATGAATCCGACCTCTATTTCAGCCCCACTTAGACTTCTGTTAAAAACGGAGCCCATTCAGATAAACCTCATGTGGAATATATTAAAAAAAAGATCTATTTTCATACCTGTTAATATCATAATTGTGTGGTTCTCACATCTGATTTTATTTACTCCTGTTTGTAAATTTATTCCTAAAGGTTACTGAAAACATGAATTATGTGATTTTTTTGTGCATCTCTACTACAAAATCTTCTCCCCATTTGCTTCCACCCTGGTTACAGTTTTTTTAAAATCAAAAATAATAACAAAATGTTCTCAACAAACCATAAAGCCTGTCAGCAATATCCACTTTCCTGGTCTTTATGTTTATAGGAGAACAATTGTTGCTTTAATTAAAGATTGTGCATATGAGTACACACTAATACTAAGCATCTAACAGGATATGTTCCACCTCACCTTGTCAAAGTTATGTGCAACCCAGAAGCTTCCACCTTTCTCTTATTCATGCTGTACAGGTGAGACGTCTCCATGTTATTCCCCCCGACTATATTTTCTGTATAACCAAGTTTTTGAATACAAGCCTCGGTTATTTTTACTTCGAGTTGAAATGTTTTCTCCACATGCTCTTCGGGGAACTACTGTATATGAGTAACACCACACTGTGAGGCCTCTGTCTCGACCTTTACAGACTGTAGACGTCCATCATCCACTCCGGTTGATGTTGGATGTGATTCATACTCTATAATCTGAGAGGACACCTGATGCTGATTTTCCTACTTCTGACACTTTAAATGTTTTTAATGTTAATTTGAATAGACCTAAAGTATTCAGTTAATATGTCAAATATTTGCTGCCATCTTGTGGCAAAACGTGGCATATTTGTACCGCTCACTGCTTTTCATTCTTCCCCTTTACTGTATGACTGATGTGCCTACATGTATATAGGAGCTCAAGGACCTTACGCTTCCCTTTATGGATGTTAAGTATATAAATCTCATCTGATTCATGTCTTTAGGGAGTTTTTTTACACTCATCCATCTTTTATTTTCACCTGTGCAGGCCAGCAGACACAGAGAGGTTTACATTTATCTAAAGGAAACACTCAGATCTACTCTTAAATCTGCTGTTATGAAATATAAACTAAAATGCAAAGAAATTTGTGGTCTATTAAATCCTACTTTCCCCGATAGCATGCACATGAGGGCACATCCTCCAATAAAATGTTCATGTATATATATTTCAGTGTGTAAATTAAATTACAGCGCTATATGTTGGTTATGCACAGAAATCTGTTTTGAAGTTTAGAAATTAAAGTTTCTGTCTTTTGCTGGGAGTTATGTGCCAGACTCTTTCTCAGCAGGGCAGGGACTTCCTGAGCTTAATTAGTGAGCTTCAGAGATGCTGGAGGCAGATTTTGCGATCATTCAACAGAGCCAGACGCACGGTTTCCCTATTTGTAGTCTTTAAATTAAGTTAAACCCACTAGCCTGCTGGTGGTTACTTAATATGTAGCTCACAAGCACAACAGTGGCATGGATCTCACCTAGACCTTTCACATTAAGATGCCACATCTAAAAAAAAATTGTCATTTAATCTTTTACCACCAGAGAAAACCATACATCCATGTGGCTTCAAAAAGCCTAATGGTTGTAGGTTTTGTTTGAACATTGAGGGGGCAGGATAAAACTTCATTTTCTGCTTATCTGCGAATTTTTATGCACCAATTTGTGTCTTTTCTGCATTAATTTGTGGTTAAAATATGTTCATTTATGTAACAAAGCTAGTGACAATTTAAATCAGAATAAGATAAATGGTGTGAGGCTCTCCGGTGTTCTGTATTGCTTTAAAAATATTTATCCTGTAGATCATCTTTTCTCACAGGCTGTTATCTCTGATGCATGAACACATGCTATCATGATTACCATTCCTCTTTACATAGAATAAATGCTGTTTCAATGCAAGACATCTCTACAAATCATGAAACATCGTGTGCACTATATCAGAAATGATAACAGATAGTGGGCACATAGAGCAGAAATCTGAAGGGCTTTATGAGAACTTCCTTTTCTACTGGTGTCCATATTTTTGCCTTTGCTGCTGTAAGACTGAAAATTCTCCTGCTGTTGGAATAATAGAGGTTTATGTTACCTGTGTACTAAAACCACACCTGACTGGGCTGTGGATTGACTCAGTGGTCGGTTAGTTCAGTAGCTCAAAAAAAATGTTCATGCAGAATTTGCTAAATGTGCTCTTATTTATTTCCCCCTACAGGGCCTCACAGTGGGGCAGTGGTTAGCACTGTCGCATCATAGCTGGGAAGTGGGTTCAGCTGGGGAGTTTGTGTGGGTTAACCTGAGATTCTAACTTGTCTGTAGGTGGTCGTCTGTCTTGCTGCGTTGGACCTTTAATGAACTGCGACCTGCCTTTCACCATTCGCCTTATGCCGGCTGGGATAGGCTCCAGCTTCCCTGCGACCCTAAAAGATAAAATACTGTATAGATCCATCCATTATCTATACGCCGCTTAATCCTCACCAGGGTCATGGGGGGCTGGAGTCTATCCCAGCTGACTCAAGGTGAAGGCAGGTTCACCTGGACAGGTAACCAGTCTATCACAGGGCTACACTTAGAGACAGACAACCAAGCACACTCACATTCACACCATAACCTCAGCATGTTTCTGGACTGTGGGAGGAACCCTGTGGGAACCCACACTGCACAGGGAGAACATGCAAACTCCACACAGAAAGATCCCAGGTGTCCTGACCAACACGCAAACTGGGGGTCTTGCTGTGAGGAGCCACCGTGAGCCCAGCAAGGTGGCTTGGTCGCCTCGCAGATAGAAGGTCGCTAGTTCGCGTCACCGTGAGGACACCCGCGATCTTTCTACGTGGAGTCTCCATGTTCTCCCCGTGCAGCGTGGGTTCTCTCCAGGTTCTCCGGCTTCCTCCCAAAGTCCAGAAACATGCTGAGGTTAATTGGTGATTCTAAATTGTCCGTAGGTGTGAATGTGAGTGTGCTTGGTTGTCTGTCTCTAAGTGTAGCCCTGTGATAGACTGGTTACCTGTCCAGGTGAACCTGCCTTCACCCTGAGTCAGCTGGGATAGACTCCAGCCCCCCATGACCCTGGTGAGTGTTAAGGTGTAGAGATGATGGATGAATGGATTTTTGTTCAGGGAACACATATTGAGAGGAAGGCGTCTCTGTTGTCTTCACCAGAATCCACACCTACGCTCATGGCCTCCACAGGTGAACACAACAAAGGTCAACCTGGCAGTTCCAGTCTTCCTTGTCACCAGGAGGACATGCCCTTGAGGAAGTGCGTTGAGTCCATTCTACTGCTGGTCAGTCTGTCTTTACAGTGAGACTGAACTGCGGCTCTGTTGTGCTCTATTGACATCAGTTTACACAACAGATAAGAAGCAGCTGAAACAAACAGGTCAGCTGCTCCACATCACACACAGCCTGTACAGTGTGTGTGTGCAGCTCAGTCTATCATTCATCAGCTGCATTCACTGCCCCCCCCCTCCTACTCTGTCACACACTCGTGGACGCGCACACGCACGACGCACACACTCTACGCTCCTGGACACACACACAAACATGGCGGCCTCTGTTTCACCGCTACGCTCCTCCTTCAGGATTTGTAGCCCGCTAACGTTACACCATCACTGCTGCCGGGCCAAGCTGCGGACGCACAGAAAATGCGAGAGTCAGAGGAGACACGTCCACCAGTCGGCGACGAGGTAAACGGCAGCGCGTTAACAATCACCGCCGTTTTCTCCTCTTGACACCACGGCGTTGGCTCGCGGAGGGGATGAGCGACGCTCCAGCGCCGGCGAAGGCGTGTGCGCCGTCACGTGTCGGAGGCTGGTGATTGACAGCGGCGCTCACCGTTCACGGTAGAGAGGGCAGGTTTTAAACGGACGCGCTGTCGCATATTGAATGATGTGGGGAAATTACAAGTGCAATTAAACGGACAGCGTAGTCTCGGCAAATGTGACTTACATAACTCACCGCAGTTTGGCCGGTCCTAGCTGAGCATCGGTATGATGTTAGCTGCGGCGGCTAGAGGACGGCTAGCTTCGGGTTTTAACCGTTAACGTGATTCGCCGGGGTTAATGGTGACTCTACGCCGCGGTCATTTAGCTGGACTTTAACAACAGGGGGGGTCAGTCACTGGCCGTATATGTCAAAAAAAAAAGTGAAGGTTAGACTAATGTGACAGCTCAGGGTTAAATAAAGAGTAAGGCAAGCTAATTTGTTAGTGTAGTTAAGCTAGCCAGGGGCGCGTGCGGAATTTTTACAGCGGGGTGGCAGGACGGAACCACTGACATTTTTATTAGGGGGGTGGGGGGCACCAAAACCTAAAGACTTATCTGAAGTTTTACAATTCTGTTGTTGTATGTAGGCTAATTGAAAACTGTGGTTGTGTCAGAAATCAGTCACTACACACAATGTAGTGCACTCTATTAATATTTTCGCCATTTTTGTATTGTTGTTGTCCAAATGTTATTGGTACATCCTATATAGCGCCCTCAAAGTGTCCCACAATACAAACATAATGAACACTAGCCAAGCAGTATGTAGCATCATGTACAGAGCGAAAATCTTCAAATTGTCTTCATCTGTTTACTTACAAATTGATGTTGTCTTGCTAGTAAAGCAAGAGCAACTCATCCCATTAAATTAGAGACAGACAGACAGACACAGAATATATCTCATCTGTATGCGCATGCGCAGCTTTGACGTACATTTTCAATAATTTTGTAGTTTTTCCAACTACTGTATTGTAAGATATATTATAAGCTGTAACGTGACTTTCGCTATGATTTGCTGTGTGTAAGATTCATTTGAAATTAGGGCTGCAAATAACTTATTTTCATTGTCAGTTATTTTGCTTATTATCATTGTTGTTAATTAGTTAGTTATGTGGTGTCTAGAAAGTGAGAAAATATGGGGACAAAATACACGAGTCGCTCCAAATTCGAAAGAAATTCAACTGAGGATTTGTGGCGTTTTTACTTAAAAATTACTGATTTACCAGAACACCTGCTTTCTGGCAATCAGCTATTTGTTTGTTTGACATTTAGCACCCAGCATTGGTTCTGTTTAAATAGTCTTTCAACCTATTTAGTGGTGTGTGCTGTGTATATGTGCATTTATTCAATGTCCCTCTCCAGGCATGCCGCTGTGGTGATTTCGGGAACAGAACTGGCTCGTCAGCTCCACAGAGAAATCCAGCGTGATGTGGAGGAGCTGGTGGCTCAGGGCAACATGAGACCCCACCTGGGAGTGGTCCTGGTGGGGGACGACCCGGCCAGCCGTACCTATGTGAAGAACAAGACCCGGGCGGCCAGCATCCTGGGTCAGACATGAACAGTACACGCATTCCTGAACACTGTAATTCTAATGTGTACCACGCAGATTACAGCCATGACATTGATCTACCGAATGCAGTCCACATTTTAAGCATGCATGGACACACTGACACACATGGGTAAACACATTTTTCAGAAGCAAAACTAATGTAATGTCATGTAACAGGCACGTGGCTGCGTTTTAACACGGTGTGTGTGTGTGTGTGATGTGCTCTCCAGGTATTTCCAGTGACACAGTGGTGCGACCAAGCTCGGTGTCCCAGGAGGAGCTGCTGGAGCTGATTGACAAGATGAATCGTGACTGGAGGGTCAGTGGCCTCTTGGTGCAGCTGCCACTTCCAGGTAAAAGGCTGCAAATGACATTTCCTCACTGAGAGCAGTTAAATGGTTGTTAAAGCACAATTTGTGTTGGTCCTGTATGTGTGTGTGTGTATATATGGATTTTTACATGTGATTTGTAAATATTCAAGAATCTCAATAGGAGTTTTTAAGCACATTCCTTTTGATTAATATTGCTTTTTCCTGGTTTAAGTAGACAATGGACCTGTTCAGCTTTGGCACAGGAACACAAGTCTTGCCTATCAGGACATTTTCCACACATTAGCTTTTGTTTTGCTTTGTGTCATATCCGTAGGAAGTTCCTGTCTGAGGCTGCAAATCAAAGCAAGAAAAGTATTTATGGGCATACTGTATGTTCACAGCAGCATGTAGTGCCAGTGTAGTTATCAACAGTTCGTCTTCATGTCCCATATTTTGTTATAAACACCACTGAGCGTCTGTTGTTCTCCCTCCCCTCTTCAGAACACATCAACGAGCGAGCAGTGTGTAACGCCATCGCTCCAGAGAAGGATGTGGATGGCTTCCATATCGTGAACATCGGGAAGCTGTGCCTGGACCAGAGATCCATGGTTCCTGCCACGCCTGCAGCAGTGTGGGAGATTATCAAAAGAGCAGGTAAACTACCAAATCTCCCACGGCTCATTCACTCCCATCCAATTTTCTTTCAGCTTCATTGTTCCTGCAAACGAGGAGTCCCCTAGAGGGCATTATAGATCTGCTGAATTGGTCTGAGCAATAGCGATATTTGTTGTTATAGTTTATCAAGCTTGATATTATTTAATTAAAGACAAACTCATTTCTGCAGCTCGTACTGGAAAGTTATCAGATCTTAATAAATGTTCCAGTTATAAAAATTGTGAAGGAAAGTCTTGGAGGAGCAAACATTTGTGTTTGTTTATTACCATGCCCGTCCCACTAGATGGAGCCTAAAATAATGTTTCCACCTGAAGTCTGTCTACTATCCCTTATACTGGAATTCATACCGTTCACCAAGACAGAGTGTAAATATTTTGGGGTTTAGGAATTCAGGATGAATAAGCATGCAGTACTAAAGTGTTTATTTACAAGCAGCTATCCAGAACCCTTCATATTTTAGTTATGCAATAAGTGGAAACTATGTTGTTATAAAACTTTGTGAAAGATGTTAAAGGAACTTGAAATAAGGAATATAATTCTGTGAGGTTAGCAGACAAGGTTAAACCATCCATCCATCCATCCATCCATCTTCTACCGCTTTATCCGGAGTCGGGTCACGGAGGCAGCAGCCTTAGCAAAGCCGCCCAGACCTCCCGATCCACACACACCTCCTCCAGCTCTTCCACGGGGGCCCCTAGGCATTTCCAGGCCAGTTGAGAGACTACCTGTCTCTCCAGTGTGTCCTGGGTCTTCCCCAAGGCCTCCTCCTGGTGGGACACACCCGGAACACCTCCCCGGGGAGGCGTCTAGGAGGCATCTGAAACAGATGCCCGAGCCACCTCAGCTGGCTCCTCCCGCGTGACTGAGCTCCTCACCCTATCTCTAAGGGAGCACCCGGCCACCCTGCGGAGGAAACTCATTTCGGCCGCTTGTATCCGCGATCTTGTTCTGTCGGTCACTACCCAGATCTCATGACCATAGGTGAGAGTAGGAACATAGATTGACCAGTAAATCGAGAGCTTTGCCCCCTTGCTCAGCTCTCTCTTCACCTCGATGTTCTGGTACAACACTGCAGACGCTGCACCGATCCGTCTGTCAATCTCACGCTCCATCCGCCCCTCACTCGTGAACAAGACCCCGAGATACTTGAACTCCTCCACTTGCGGCAAGGACTCTCCACCAACCCAGAGAGGGCACGCCACCTTTTTCCGGTCGAGAACCACGGCCTCAGATTTGGAGGTGCTAAACTAGTCCAGGAGAAAGTTGTGAAGACGGTAGTATTCTGTATAGTGACTAACTGGAATTTGGGTTCTGACAACACCAGTTCTACTGAGAGATACTAAAGGTAGTAAAACTATCATAAACATTGTCTGTGATGGCAAATAACCCCCTGGTGGCCCTACTGATCAAACCCAGAGGAGGGCGCTGTTGTTCATGTTGAGCTAAACCTCCTGTCAGACCTGATTCAGTTTGTTGCTCAGAAGACTGCTGATGAGGAAAAAATGCAGAAGTCCCCCCTGCCAGGAATCAAGGCTGAAGACACCATGACAGGGCTGAGAGGGACCTTGACGATGTGTTTATGATGATCGTGATTGTGTAATATGGAGAAGTGAGAGACCTTGATGGGTGTTTTCACTGTTACCCAGCAGAATTTTTGAAATTCCCTTCTCCTCGCAATGTCAAAGCTGCTTAAGAAGCTTTTCATTGTTGCTTTGTTGAATGTGTTGAGAGTGGTGGAGTCAAGGCTGCAGCACAATCCACTCGTCTCTCTGAATGATTAAGATGTTTCAAATGCTCATAGTTGGGTAAATACACAGCTTGCGTGGGAGAATGAATACTACAGGCAGTAGCTGGAGAGGTGATGGCTGAGATAGTCTTTGATACCTGGAAGATGGTTTAGATAAAGCAAAGAGAATATATATGAATGGTTGAAAAGTGGAATTTAACCATTAGTGTATCTGACTAATTAAAGGTGTATAATAGACATTTCTTGCTTGCTGCATTACTTAACTCTACTAACTGTTTTCGTACCTTCAAACATAATTTAACATAAATCAAAGGCAACCTAATGAACAGAAAATACAAATTTAAAGGATAATTGTACTGATTGAAGCCACGAGGTTGTCCGATACCTGGCCTGACTCACTGAATGCAGGATACAGGTATAAACCTGACATTGGCCGCTCATTTCAGGTGGCTTTATCCTCTTTTTTTCCATATCTGCATGTTACTGTTGCTTCACTACCAGAAACAGCAACCACAACCTTGGGCTAGCAACCTACCACACAGAAAATATCAACATTTACAGACGATTTGGATTGTGCTGTAAGGCAACCCTGCTAGTTTTTGTGTTGGATTGTCTATTTTACTGACAGTGGTCGCCTCTCCGCATGCAGATGTTCCGTTAAAACACTTCCACCCGTCATTATTTTAAGTTAATGCTGAGCCACATTCTTAGTTTAGCCCCGCCCACAACAACTCTGATCGGTTTTAAGAAATACAAAAAAAAACCAGAGCGTTAATTTCCTCCATAGCAGAATAATACTGAGCTGCAGCTATTCCGTTATGTTGCGGCATATTTCAAAATAGGCCGCTAAAGCGAGACTGTTCAACAGTTAACTCACTCGTGTAAGGAAGTAGTTGAATTTAAAAGCTTCTTGTGCCACCTTTAGCTGCAGCCAAACGTCTCTGACATTATTGTAACACAGTTTTGGCTGATATTCTTTGCAGAGCTGCTTTATGTTGACAGAGGGTCTGTCAACATGAACCAATCTTTCTGGGTCACACCACAGCACCTGAGTGGGGTTATGTCGGGGCTTTGACAAGACTGCTTCAAAACTTAAGTTTTATTTTTTTTGAGCCATTCAGAGATCGACTTACTTTTGTGTTTGGGATCATAAATCTTGCTGCATAACTCAGCTGCACTGGAACTCACAGACTGATGACCTTTACCTCACTTAAGACTTTCCCTCCCTCAGTTATGGAAAGTCATCCTGGCCCTGAAGCAGCACAGCATCCCCGATATTATCATGATGCCACCTCCATGCTTGACCCGTATAATGTTCTTCAGATGTAATGGGACATTACTCCAAGATGTTTAAATCTCATCGAGGTGTGTCGTGGCAAAATTCAGACAAACTGTAACGGTCTTCTGGATTACCGGTGGTTAACGCACCACTACTCTCCCGTGGATCTCCAATTTTTGTGCAGCGTCTTTCAGATATTCGAGTCATAAACACTGATCTCAGCTGAGGTGGAGGAAAAGTTCAGTCTTTTTTATTTGTAGATGATGTCTATCACTGTGGGTTTGAGAGTCCCACACCTTTTGTCACCCTTTCCAGACTGATGTATATCAATCGCCGTCTTGTGATTTTTGGCACCGTGGGCCACAGGTGAGACCTTTCAGCCCATTCCATGGGTTTGAAAATGGGTTGCTTCAGTGTTGATTTTAGGGCTGGTAGTAATCAAACTTGTTTGTTTGACATTTGACAGCGTGACTCATCCATATATCCAATACAAGCTTTATTAGCAAACTGCAGTTTTTGACAAGCGTACGCATACCTGTCCTCCCACTATAAATCACTGTGATGACTTTTTGGTCAGCCAACAATAGGTGCAGTTATTGTCGCAGGCGGGACATTGTGGTGCCAGTCTGTGGTGCAGTTGGCAGAATATCCCTCCTTTCACATGCCTGTCTGATTATTCAAAGGTGAAATCCTGCCTTGGGCTTTTTTTATCTATTTTAATTTTGTGTTTGTCTGACATTTTGCCTCTTGCACTCTGTAGATGTGTCTTTTCTCAGTTCAATCAATGTAGTGTAATTTAAAAAAGAAGAAAAAAAAGACATGTTCTCCTCCTTTAAAATGTCTTTGTGCAGGTATAGAAACTGTGGGGAAGAATGTCCTGGTTGCTGGCCGCTCCAAAAATGTTGGAATGCCCATTGCCATGTTGCTGCACACTGATCGCAACCATGAACGACCCGGGGGTAAGAGAGTGTGTGTGTGCATGTGCATGTGTGTGTTTGTCTTTGTTGTAGGTGAGTCAGCAGTGCAGTATGATTGGCGTGCGGCACTTTGTAGGGAAATGATATTGCACCATCTTGGCTTTCCCTGAAGGCTATTGTATGCTTTGAGCTCTTGTCAGTATATGACCAATAAATGAGGGCTTTAATGACTCCTCACCTTTTTCATTAAACAAAAAAATGCTGATGCACGTCCTGGCTTTGGAAGAAAAACCCAGGGAGTGTGAAGGAGAAGCACAGGGCGAGACTGTTGGCATTGTGCACCGCCTGGAGACGGATCAGCTCCTTATAAGGGCGCAGGAAGAAGGGCTGGGATTTGGAAAGGCTTTGCATGTTAGGATGAAGCAACAAGACATGCTTGACATGTCAAAGTGTTGCAGGTCCCATCAACACAAAGGTGTAAATAACTCCCTCATACGACTCTCTGCATACCGAGAAGAAGAAGTAAAGTCAAGGCCATGAAATCAAAGCACAGCAGTGGCCCCCAGTCTTCACTGCTAAGGGGATTGAATGAAACTTTATTTGTTTAACTCTGTCATAGATTTGGTTGCTTTGCATAGAAAACTGTACAATCTAATCAGTGGTAGTGTTGGGTATCAAACGCCTCAAATGAGAACCATCGTTGAGTTTCCAAGAACGTATGGCAGAGTTTGAAGAGGAAAACAAGGAAACAAATGACCTGGATGAGGCTGCTACAGCGATTCCCAAATCCATTTCTGTGTGTACAGGAACTACTGGCTGCTTTCAGTCTAGTGATTTATTAAATTTGGTTCCACCATTATAAATTCTAACTTGGGCTGGCTGCTCTGATCCACATCTTGCATAATAACTGTTTGTTCCCCTATAGAGAAAAGAACTGGTAGGTTTTACGTTGAAGCTTTTTGGGACATGTTTCCCTTTTAAATTGTCTACAACACTGCTTCTGTTTTCTCCTTATGTTGGGTTTAATGCATGCTTTTCTTTGGCTGATGTTTTTACCCTAAACAGAAGTCTCAGTTCAGAGGAAATGAAAGTGTGGAGTGAAATTTCAGTGTGAATGAAGTCGTCATGTGGTGGGCAAGTTACCTGGAACAGGAATTACTCATTTCACATCAGTCATTGTCAGAAAAATCACATTTTTTCCCAATTGCTTGGCAGCAAAAGTAATTCATTATCAGTTACTCAGCACAGCCCTGGTCAAGGTGCCAATGTCACATCTTATGTAATTATCACATGTAGAAATAGAAGCAAGCACAAACCTGTACAATTTAGACACATTCTGCTGCTAGCTTAGCACATAGCGCCCCTGAATGAATCCTCAGGAAAGATGAGACTCCTGAGTGCACACAGATTGCACACATTTTTGACATAACAAGAATTCACAAAATTTAGATATGACTATTTGATATCACCATCAACCATCAACCGTATCCAATCCAAGACCAGTCTTAATCCTCTATCAAACTTCCAGTAAAGCCGGAACAAACCCTAAAGTTATGGGACATTATTGGCATCAGTAATTCTAATGATACTGAAACAAAGCAATTACTCTAATGCAATATTAAGTACCAAAATGGAAACTACAATTAAGGGAGATAAGCGATGTGTCAGAGGGGTGACCTCACATAGAGGTAACCATTCTTATTTTCACTAATGAAAACATAATTATCAAGGTCATATCTGCCAGTAGATCCCCCCAAATCCTTCACACTGGACCTTTAAATATTATCTAACCGCCATGTTTTGACCCCTGGCTGTACACTCAGCTCTACCTTTAAAGACAAGCTAAATGTTCACCAATGCATACTGCTAAGCTCCATCTTTGTCGTCCCAAATGGAAGTCCGATCCCTGCGATGTGACTGTGTAAGCAGATTTATGTCCCCACAACATGAGTAATACAAGAACACACACATTTTTATCAGGTATGCAATCTGCAGGTGTGATGTGCTGCGACTTGCCCTTCCTTCTCTCACTTTCTTATCTTCCCAGAATCCTTCCTTGTGTGGGCTTTTTTCTTTTCTTTTTTTTTTTTTTTTAATCTTGTTCCACACCTGCATTACTGGTCCCAGTACAGTTATTGCATAGTGTCCACACATATCTTAGATAAAGATTAGAGTAACTACTGCCATTGTTGCACTTCCTCGTTGTGTAATTCCTGCCTGAGTAAAGCGTCCTTACGACACCTGCTGCTGCCTTTTGTGTTTCCTGTGCAGCTGTAAGAAGGAAACTAACACTTGAATGGTTCAAAGCTCAGCCGACCAGAATGAATGTACACAAAGAGTAAATCTACAGGAATGACGTTAATTATATTAGGTTTTTAGATGTGTGCTTTGAAAACTTGTGCCACCAACCTGACACAACACGAGCAGGTAGAACTGTTTGCTGACTGTTTACTGAACATAGAATGTGATAAATGACCAGATGAGTCGATGGGTCAGCGTTAGATTCAATTCTTGGCCACAGTTTAGTAAAACTGACAAAGAATGTAGTAACAGTGAGTCACCAAGATGCTTGAATAATAGATGAGCAGATTTCTTGTAGTCTGCCTGCAGTATTTAAAGTTTAAATGGTACAAATGTGTGATTTAAATCAAGATAAGGCCTTTATAACAGAGGAAATCTCCAAACGGGGCCTTTCATAGAGATAACGGTGATTAGCAACGCTTCTGTCCAGCTTTCGACAAATAATTTTTTAGCTCTTTAAGCGCAAGATATGAACTTTAATTCACCAACATTACATGTGAGTTGTGACAGAAATCCAATATCAAGAACAGCATAAAACCTAGATTGTTCACGGGGCTATTTCTTGTTTTGTTGTTTGGTCGAATTAACCAAAAAAAACTGATCCTTCTCAGGTGATGCCACAGTGACCATCGCCCACAGGTGTACGCCGAGGGAGCGGCTGAAAGAGCTCACCAGCCTGGCTGACATCATTATTGCAGCTGCAGGTAATTACACCAGGAAACAGCAAGACGCACGCCTGTCCGCTCTTTCACAATTAAAGATGTCACTGCCGAAGTCACATGTCTGATGAAGAGCATGGCATCACCAGTCAGTGGTTCCTCAATTAGCTGTCAGCAGGTTATAAAGGCGTGAATGTGTTCCAGTACTCAGATTACCATAAGAGTTACTTCATCCCAGTACATGTCAAATTCAGCATGCTGGGAAAACACCAGGACGTCCACCTGTATCCACGAGGGTTTTGCAACACGCTAGTAACCGGGCTTTTCCGGCCGTGCTGACCCACAATCTTCTGTGCTGTCACATCACATTCCTCACAGTGTGTCACACGAGTGTAAACAAATCAGAGCCACTAAGAGCCCACACACACATGACGGGTCGTGTTGCACAACGGACCGGGACAAGACGGTCAAAGTTTGACACGCAATGTTACGACGGACTGGTATGTCTTAATTGTGTGCAACAGCGTGCGTTCTGTAAGGAGTGCTGCAATAAACACTGAAAGGAAAGTCTAGCCTTTAAAAAAATCACCAGAAATGGCATCATTCACCAGAGCCAGAACCTTTCCCCCGGTTTCTAAACTAGTCATCTGTAATGTGCACTAAAATCAGGAAAATTAACAATCCTAAACCTGCTATCCGACAGGTTTTTAGGAAAAACCAACAGAACCCATAAAAACAGCCTTAACATAGCGACAGCCTTGGATTGTGACTCCGACATGACATTTAATGTCACCAATCAGGATGACGGCGTATTATCTGACTGAACAATCCCACAGATTGGCTACGTTCACACTGCAGGACTTGATGCTCAATGAGGATTTCTTTGTGACTTCCTTCACGTTTCCACTTCAATGCGACTTGTATGTGATCTGCTGTGTGAACTTCATACGAGCCAAAAGTGTCCCGCATGCGCAGAAGAGGACACGACGACGTCACACGCAGCGAGCGTGCTCAGTGTTTATGGAAGTAAACATGGATGGTAACGGTGGAGCGTATCTGCCACTCCCCCGCCGCCACCGATGGAGGAAACAGAAGTGTGAGCGCTAACTAAACTAGCATCAGCAGCCAAGTACTGCCTGTGTGTTCTGGACACTTCCACCCCGTCAGAGCGCTGCCCCGGGGTGGAAGTGGCCGGAAGGTGCACAAGCGCACCGGTCAGTTAGGCTGAAGTCCAGCGATGCGTCGTGTTCTAGCAATACACTAATTATAACAACTAGAAATATTAACAACTAATAAGCCTTCCAGCATCAAGCCCTCCTTGTATCAGGACCTCCGTCTTGACAATCCGACATAAAAGAAGGTTTTACATTTAGTGTCGGATTATCGAGTCACGACTGTACATTTAGTTTATTATCTACAATTGCACATACAAATAGAGCAACATGCCCTCCTACTAGACAAGTGATTCTTTCTGATGGTGTTACTGAAGCAGTTCCAGCGTTCACTCCTTAAGTCAGCGTCAGTTGACTTTTCATTACGTTTGAACAGAGGGAATTATTCTGTGGCCTGGTATTGCAATAAGTGGCAAAGATTGTGAAAAGCGTCTACCAGCCCTTACTTGAAGTGACCTTGTTGGAATCTCAATCATCACCCGAAGTTTCTCCGTGTTTACCTGCTGCTCTGCCTCATCTGCGGTAACAGATATCAGCTTTCCTGAACAATAATAGTCAATAGTGATTCTTGGCAGCTGGAATGTGGGAACATCAATCAGGACGTGGCAGCAATATCTGTTGAAACGCTCTTTGGTAACATAATAGCATAAGAGGTAGTCCGTTCGTGATAGATCGACTATTTCCTCTTGACTAAAACAACACAACCCTCTGGGAAGGGCGCCTGAACTTCTCTACATCCAACTGTCAGGTTTAGGCTGTACTTTATGATCATCCAGCTGCTTCCACGCCGTTTGAGACTCGGCGTGCGTTCGGATTCGGTCGAGGATTAAACTGTTGTGGAACCTGCAGTAATTGCAGTTTGTAGGCAATTAGACTCGCCGTGCAGTTTGAGGTTAGCGTGTCACCGAGCTCCTCCGGTCTGCGTGCCACGCTTATTACCATCGGGGTTATTTTCACAAGTTAAACCCGGTATTTAATTGTTATTTTACTCAGGCTTGGTCCCATTGTTGCTCGGCTATAATTGCAGTCTGAGAAGTTCAAATTGACCGTTTCCAGACAGACGGCTTCAAAGAGGAGTGGTTATCAAAGTAAATATACAATACCGTAATTATTTCCTTCCTCGCAGACAGTCGGCGGAGGCTTTCTGACGCGCTGCCCTTTGGGTCGAGGCGCTAAATGTCACGGCGTTCCTGAAGAAAACCTGTGATTTGAAAAGGAGAAGACGAGCATGACTGCAGAAAGTAAAAGACAGACTCTGATGTGATGGATCCCGCAGGACGCTTATCTCTGTCCAGATATGGGTTATCTACGGCGGTATGCGGGTTGAAGTGGGATCATCATGGAGGCTGCAGATCGCTTTTAACCAACCGACCGAGCAAATGCATCGGGTTTTGAGGAATTTTATCGTTGCTGGTGTTCTCAGATTAAAAGCTGATTATGTTGGATAGAGTAGTACAGAAGGAGGTTTTATATAAACAGTAGGTCACATCCCAGAGACACTTGGGATGAAAACTTCACGGAACACGTAGTCAGTGTTTTATATATTGATTAGAGCGCAGTCTTGAAGACATTGTGCTTTGGTTTGGCCGGTCGAGAGTCGTCTGCAGCTTCTGACCGAAAGCATTTTATAGATGTATTCTGATCCACGGTTTGTCCTGGAGTCTCATTGAAGTAAAGGGCAAGTCCAAAATGTATGAAAACTGCCTGCTATCGACTCGCTGCTTCCAACATTTATTCGGTTTCTGAGAACCACGCTGTACAAATTCCAACTGAGGAGTCACAAAGTATAACGTTCTTCCAGGAGTTAGAGAGAACGTCACCAGTTTGAAATCTGTTCTTCTGAAAAATTTGACATTTTTGAACATTTGTTCCAGAGTTAAGTGAACA